CGGCAAGAAAACGGCAAGAAGAGTGAACTTATGGCTGGAAACCATGTCGATAGATATGACTCAGGCGGCTGCGAAGAAGCCGTCGCCGTGCTTAGCTTTAAATGATCCATAGAGTCCAGACCTGCATGCTTAGCACGCAACAATAGACGAATCTCCTTGACAATAACATGGGCAGGCTTGGAGGCTGAATTGTGGTGTCTAGAGTTGCGCTCTTTCCACACATAATAAACCACCGATTGGAGAACCAAATTGCAGACAACCTTCAATTTCCTAACACGAAAGGGAGACTGAAGCCAATTAACCAAATCCTCAAGAACTGTTGGAGGCGAAAGATCCTGGTGGAAGAATAAGGAATGAAAAACTTCTGAAGAGAAATCGCATTCAAAGAAAAGATAAACTCGGCTTTCACCCACAACGTCGCATAACAAGCAATTCTCGGAAACATGGAGACCCCAACTACTAAGGCGATCTCTGGTGGGCATACGATCACGAAGAACAACCCAAAAGAGAAAGGAATGCTTTGGAATTCTGAGAGAAGGCCAGACAGCTCTAAACCAAGGCACGAGAGGAGGAGAAGGATGAAGAATTATCCAAGTTTTGGAGGAAGAGAAAATCCCTGGAGGCTTACCAGCCGAATTCCTCCAAAGGAAGTAATCATCTCCTGATGACAAGGATCCTGGAATATCAGCAGGAAGGCAATCACGAAGCAAAGACAAGATTGAATGCCTGCCATGAGAAATAGACCAAGCACCGTCCCTACAAGCACCTCTAACCAAACACACAGAGGAATTCCTGAGACCATTGGACCATTAGGGCCAGTGATATCGATCTGAGGACCTAGATTAGTCCAATCATCATGCCAGAAGGAAGTTGAGGAACCAGATTGACCACAACAGAATAAAAAGGGACGAGCTAGTGGACGAAGCTTCAGAAGTCTTCTCCATATCCAGCTTCCCGACTGATGAATGCCAGATTGCTAAAATAATTTTCCCCTAAGAACCTGTGATTTGAGCCACGCGACCCATAAGGATCCTTCAGCAGCAAACAAAAGCCAAATGAGCTTCAGACCAAACATCTTGTTTAAATATCCAAGCCTTTTTAAACCCAAACCTCCAGCAGATTTTGGAGAACAAACCGACTCCCAAGAGATCTTAGCTCCTTTCGCAGAATTCAGAGCACCAGACCACAAAAAAAGCGTTGCAAATTCTCTCAAGAGCTTCCAAGCAGCTTTTAGGGAGAGGAAAAAAAGACGACCAGAAATTTATAATGCTGTAAAGAAAGGATTGGATGAGCTGAAGTCTTCCAGCGAATGAGAGTCTCCAAACTGTCCAAGAAGAAACTCGTGCCTTCACTTTATCCAAAAGAGGTTAATAGTCCTGAGGTCTGAGCTTATGCGGCAATAAGGGAATACCAAGATATCAGACAGGCAATGAACCCACCTGCAAGCCAAATCTTCCAGCCAATTCCCTAGAGAAAGGGAGGTTGTTGCCATCTATGAAGAGAAAAGATTTGGACAGACTTAGAGATAAACCCAAAACCTTCTTAAAAGAGGACAACACTTCCAGAATTCCACCCAAAGAGTCGGACGAGCCATCAAAAAAGATAAGAACATCGTCGGTGAAACTCAGGTGGGTAATAAGAGGGTCCAAGCAGAGAGGGTGAGGCTTAATCTTCTGATCCAAAACAGCCTTATCCAAGAGCTTTAAGAGGATATCCATTATGAGCACAAACAAAGACGAAGAGATGGGATCTCCCTGACGGAGACCCTTCCTCCCTTGGATAAACCCAGCCAACTCTCCATTTAGAGCAATGGAATAATAAGGAGAAGTAATACAAGACCGTATCCAACCAATGAATTCGCGCGGAAGCTTGAAGATTTTGGAGAACAAACCGACTCCCAAGAGATCTTAGCTCCTTTCGCAGAATTCAGAGCACCAGACCACAAAAAAGCGTTGCAAATTCTCTCAAGAGCTTCCAAGCAGCTTTTAGGGAGAGGAAAAAAAGACGACCAGAAATTTATAATGCTGTAAAGAAAGGATTGGATGAGCTGAAGTCTTCCAGCGAATGAGAGTCTCCAAACTGTCCAAGAAGAAACTCGTGCCTTCACTTTATCCAAAAGAGGTTAATAGTCCTGAGGTCTGAGCTTATGCGGCAATAAGGGAATACCAAGATATCAGACGGGCAATGAACCCACCTGCAAGCCAAATCTTCCAGCCAATTCCCTAGAGAAAGGGAGGTTGTTGCCATCTATGAAGAGAAAAGATTTGGACAGACTTAGAGATAAACCCAAAACCTTCTTAAAAGAGGACAACACTTCCAGAATTCCACCCAAAGAGTCGGACGAGCCATCAAAAAAGATAAGAACATCGTCGGTGAAACTCAGGTGGGTAATAAGAGGGTCCAAGCAGAGAGGGTGAGGCTTAATCTTCTGATCCAAAACAGCCTTATCCAAGAGCTTTAAGAGGATATCCATTATGAGCACAAACAAAGACGAAGAGATGGGATCTCCCTGACGGAGACCCTTCCTCCCTTGGATAAACCCAGCCAACTCTCCATTTAGAGCAATGGAATAATAAGGAGAAGTAATACAAGACCGTATCCAACCAATGAATTCGCGCGGAAGCTTGAAGGCTTCTAAAATGTTCAGCACAAAGGTCCAATCAACATTATCATAAGCCTTAGTAATGTCAATTTGCAAGCATCCTCTAGAGAAAAAAAAAAAAACCAGGCTTATGAAAGTCACTACCAGCTCAGATGCTAAAAGAATATTTTCACACATAAGTCTGCCTTTTACAAACTCCACTTGGTTCCTTTGAACTGCCTCCGAGGTAAAAATCCTTAACCAAGAAGCTAATATCCTTGATATAACCTTGTACACAATATTACATAAGGATATAGGCCTGAATTCCGTGAGCTTAGACGCCCCCACAAACTTAGGAATCAAAGCAATAACAGTCAAATTAACCTGTCTCAGCATCAAAGATGATAAGAAAAAATCCCGCACAGCATTAATCAAATCCTTCCCAACCAAATCCCAAGAAGTTGTGAAAAATTCCACAGAAAACCCGTCAGGACCAGGGGCCTTGTCACGGGGAAGAGCAAAAAGGGTAGCCTTGATCTCATCATCGGATGGAATACTTGAAATCTGAGCACCCAACTCAATACCACATCGGAAGGGATGTAAACTCTGGATTTACGAAATGGAAAAAGGCTGCACACTAGCATTTGCCATTCCAAGAAAGGAGGTGAAGTAACCAGTCGCCAGACTTTTCATTTGAATAGGATCTGAAACCTTGAAACCATCGGCATTTCTCAGAAAATGAATAACATTTCGAGAAATATTAGCAGCCACACATTTGTGAAAGACCGCCGTATTTGCATCCCCTTCCGATAACTACCTTATTCTGGATTTCTGTCTAAAGAAGGATTCCTCCGCAGAAGCAAGAAATTGCCAAGAATCTCTCAGCGAAGCTTCCTCCTGAAAAAGAGGAAGTTCTCCCTTGCTTCTCCCAAATGGGGTTCAGATCTTGGAAAATTTTTGCTGGGGAAGGAGGACATCCATGGAAATAAGCGACCAAGTGATTTTTCCAGATCTGAGAAGAGCCAAGAACAATCGAATCTGGAGCTGAAATTGAGGGAATACCATCTGAGGAAATAATCGGAGTCGTGACTTTAGAAAGATTCTGGAATGAAGATTTAAATTTGGAAACCCAAAGAGTAAGAACTGGAGCTGGATCCCGAGAAACAACACAGGGATCACTCGCTACAGGCTGAGCCGCAGATGCAGGAGGAGCTACTTCTTCCACATCAGGAAAAAGAGAATTTACCGACCAAACAGGTTGAGATGAACAGAGGGGAGGCCGCTCAGATCGCAAGAAACACAGACCGTCCGAAGGGTCAGGAGGATGAGGAAGAAGGGGAACCGAAGTCGACATAGAAGGATGAAGGAGGATTCTCGCCGGCGAGCGTGAGGCTTCGCCGACGGCAGCGCTTCGAACAAACTTAATCGCCTAATCGTCTAGCGCGTTTACCGAGAGATGTTTATAACTACCGTATGTATAGGAATATATAAACAAAATCTATGATTACGTCACATGAACAAACCTATCAATAATTCAAAGTAACGTCATCATGATTAATTCAAATGCGATCGTTGTCACTGTGCCGGATCACTATGATATCCAACAGAATCAAATTCGATCTTGGTGCATGCATCCAGATCAAAAGCATGAAAAATCTAGTTTCACTACGTGAAGACGATAGAATATTAACAAAATACAATTCGTTTCTCGTAAGAAGTATAGAAACTTAAAACGTTTGTTATTCATTTTTTCTTTTTTTTAGAAAAATAAAATAGATAGGTCAAATAATAGAAAAACAATTATATTAAAGTGTTTTTTCTTTTGTTTTTCAAATGCAAAAGATAAAAAGAAAACGTTGACCCCTCTAGTACCATGATAAATTGATGATGAAAGTAAGAACATTAATGTTTTGCAGAAAATAAGAACATTAATGTGTTTTGGAAGAATTATTATTAGACTATGATAAGAATGATACTCCCTCCGTTTCATAAAGAGTGTCGTTCTGACACTTTTTTCTGTTTCAAAAAAAATGTCGTTTTAGAATTCCAATGTAAATTTTGACATAAAATACCAGTTTTAACCTCAAAAATAAATTCAGAAAATTAGTTATAAATATAATTCCAAGAGAGATGGAAGTAGATCTAAGTTTCCTAAACTACAATAAATATCAATCGAAGTTTCTGGTGATAATCAGGTTTTGAACTAATGACTTCCACAACGTCAAAGGTGACACTCTACCACTGAGTTATATATCTTCTCCCGTAAGGAATCCTAAATCTTGTTCGTGAAATATCGAATTACGTGTTAAAGAAATCGAATACTATTATCTGATAAATCTACTCTCCATGAAGGTAGCAAAAGCATTGTTACTGCCTAACACATTACCCGGAATGTTGATTTGTTTGGTTTCATGATTGCATCAGAACAAATTTGTTTACATAAAACCGCACATTAAGCTTTTCATTTAACAATAAAGCTGATAATGAAGGAAAAGAACAAAAAAAAATCTCTCAAGGTGCATAACCAACAAGACGACATGGTTCTAAATAAAAACAGCTGCAGCTATTTGAGTAAGACCATCAATCTTCTCTAGCCATTGAGCTTACAAGGGAGTCACATGAGCAGTCTCGTTCAAGAAGAGGCACCCGAATATGTAATTGAAGAAGTCTCGGCCTTTAACCATACCTTTACCATCTATGGTTTCCATGTCGTATGTGCAAGCCCTCATGCAGTCAGGACAGTATGTAACCTTTGAGCAATAAACAGTCATCGATACGAGAACTTGCAATTCCCAAGAGATTGTTCTTGAGTGTACTTGTTTACGAAAAAAAAAAGGCTAATACCTCCAAGATTTTTGGCTGGAAGGAGCTATCGAGCATTACATCTACTCCATAAATGGCTCTAGATTTGGGCGATTGCATCTCCGGATGCACAAGAGCTGCCGCCTCAAACACTTGCCGTATCATTTGCTTCACCTTCTCATGGATATCCAGCCATTTAACTATTGAGAGTAGACTTAAGTTATTGATAAAAAATAAAGAAATGAAGAAAGATATATGTGGAGGAAGGAAACCAAAATGCAGTGTATATACCGTTATGTTCTTGTTCAAACTCCTTCACAAACTCTGCCGTGGGCTTGTGATTCAACTTCCGACCATAGTTCTGAAACGCATAGGAGAATGGACAAGGACAAAGGAATATGTGAGTAGTGTTTATATAGTATGTTGCAATCTTTGTCAGAACAGAATCATTATGTGGAAAGAGTGTTCTGAAGAAATACCATGACAGTGAAGTGAGTTTCATATTCAAAGAAACTATGCTTTTCCAATGAATATGGGTTGTTAGACAACCTAACCTGAAATCAAAAAAGTCGGATTAGCACATATGTTCTTCAACCAAAACGAGTAAATACTTATCGCTTATATCGGCTGCTATGAAGGATTAGAGTAAGCATTACCCAGAAAATATCTGTCAGGTAAATCTCCAGAGGGTCAATGCTCCGCAGTAGGACAACGTATCGCAGATCAAACTTCTTCCCCTTGAACAAAGCAGGGTGCTCTATGTACTTTTGGCAGATCTTGGGACCAGTTTCCATCATGCGGATGATAGCAGATAAATTATCAGTTATACTTGTGTCGATTGTCCGTGCCATATTCCATGGTTTCAAGATCCACAAATTGTTCAATTGGTCACGTTTGCGTACAAAATAGTCCCCAATAAACTGGGACAACTGTGTTTCAAGATTGTAAGTAGGTTGTAACCATTTCGGAGATCCATAAGCCTGAATAGCAAAACATTGAAAGCTAGCTATATTAGATAGTTAAATTAAACAAATAAAAAAGAGACACCTTGATATGTATGTCTTAGTTATATCTTGTGACCGCATATAAAGAAGTCTTTACTAATGGTGTTTAGATAAAATAGTCTTCTGAGTTTACCTTTTGAATAGTCTCTGCAAGATGATGCTTCATAACAAGACAAGCCTCAAAGGGAAACTGATTTATGTATTGGTCATCTGTTAATCCCACCGCCTTTTTCAGCTCCTCGTCCACCTGCATACTCGTCCATATAATGTCTGCGTCTTTTGGTTCATTTGCTGCAAATAAAAGAAAAACCTTGATTTGTCTGATGTGTATAACACGTTTTCCAATTTTAAAACTGAATTTACTCCACAATCTAAAAGACGAAGGATAACTAAAAAGCTGGGACTTTTCGAGGTAAGTTCAAAGTCACAATGTTTAGTATATCGATCCTTAATGAGAGCTACGAATATATCATGAAAAATGGATCAAATCACATACTGATTACAAATTCTGGACGTGTCAGAAATTCTTCAACTTGAGGTAGATCTGTGTGTACAAGTAAAGGAGATCCATCACTATGGCGTATGCTTTGGGAAACTGAAGGTTTCAAAGGTAAAGACACAGAAGCTTTCGCCTGGAGTTTTTGTTGGTATTTCTCAAACTCCTAGGAAATATATAACAAGGAATCTGTTAGTAAACAGATAATCTTCGTAGGAAATGAGACAACATGAAATCTTGTTAATGAACAGAAAAAGCTAAAGAGGAACCAAGGAAGTACATGAATAAAATAGTTCTCAGGAGTGTGAAACCAGGCTGTGAGCCTGGCAGACCGATGTTTGTCCTCCCCGATACCAGATAGAAAATCACGAGTGCACTCATCACCTTTCTGACAATTTCTTATAGGCCACATTATCGAATAGCTGGAACATTAAAAGCCAAATAAACATGTGCATAAGTCAGAGCCACATAAAGTAACATTCTGAAAAATATTATGTGTATGAGACCTGAACAAGAACCGTATGTCAATCCACATCACAGTTTTAAACAAACGATAAGTGTGTATAGCACAAAAGAAATATATTCAAAAAGTTAACGGGAAAATATGGAACGTTCATACCTCACAGCAGAGTCTAGGTTCCCGGAAGGCATGAAAAGAAAAGGAGCCACTCTGAAATTGGGTTCATCGCTATGCCCCAAAGCTGAACCCAATTCATCCATCACATACCTGCAAAATGAGAAATCATTGCCAAGCAAAGTCATGAAACAATATGCCTAAATACTACAGATTTGTTATTCCTAAACACTCCAACAGCTTTAAACAGATACCCTTCCTGAATTTCTCAAATTTATCTATTTAAGTGAAAAATGTTAGAAATTCTTTAAACAGTAGATACAAGCAGCACAAAATAAAAAAACAAAATCAAATATTCATGAGGTTTTATTCAGTTAAACAAATCAACCGCAGTAGTATACCAAAAAAGGAAGACATTGCATACCACAAGGAAGTTTCATCAAGCTTTTCTTCATCCGCAAGGCGATAAGTCATCAAATACGACCACATTGCACCAAGAACACGGTCAGCAAAACTATCCTCAGGATTTGGCTCAGGAAGGCGTGGTGGAAGCAACGTGTCAACAACATGCTTTCCATTTTCAACTATTTTAGATGTATCAACGCCATTTAACAAAGAGAGATTAGGGAGAGATTCAAGAATCTCTACTGCACTGTTTCCAAGAGGTCCAGGTAGGTTAACCTACAAAAAAAAGTATCATGTAAGCACATCTCAGCATAAATATATAACCTCAATTCCTATCCGAAATGTAAGGAAAACTACCAACAATTACCTCTAAGGAAGACAGCGAAGGGAAGAGCTTCAAGACTTCAAACACTTCTCCGACAGAATTCTGATCCAATGGGTTCCCACGGATATTTAGTTGAGATAGCAATGGCATCTCGTGCACAGAGAATGCCTGGAAATGAAGAAAGTAAAGGTAGATAAAATCAAACACTTGAAAAAGATATGTAACTGTAGGAGTTCTATAGGATACAAAATTGCAACAGATATGTTCATCAATACTTGTTCTCTTTTCGATCACTAAACTACGTTCTCCGTCTCTCTTAAAAGAAGTAAGGGGATCAATTGACCTGTTTGGCTAGATTGTGTATTGACCGGTTTGAAAGGTCAAGTGAGGTGATATTGCACAAGGGTTGATCCTGCTGAACAAAACCAGGATTATCTTTCCCAAAGATATCTCCACAGAAACTAAGTGCCCACAACCCGTAATTAGATGTAAAACGCGAGTTGTAGATTTCCAGACTCGGACAGCATTGCAGTATTTCGTCAGCCATCTGAATTTCACTGAAAAGCATACAAGTACTTGAGGAATCTATTATATTCTCCCCACCATCTACATGTATTTTAAATGCATGTTTACCTCTTCTGAAGAACAGGATTGTCATTCAGCCACAAAGCCTTCAGATTCTTAAACTTCGTAACCTCTCGTATAACCACATCCGCACTCTCGATTTTGTTCCCAATAAGACTAAGCGCCATTAAATCCTACAAAAAATTGGTAGCAGCACAACAAAGAAGCTTTAGAATCTAGGTTTTGAAAAATTCAAAGCATTTCAAGTTGTCACTCCGAGTCTGCGGCAGATTATATAAATATGGCATGCAAGTATCTGAGATAAAGTCTAGCATGAAAGTACGGAAAAGGAAGAAAGATCTAAAGGCGTGCCTGAAATTTACTCGGCAAATGCAGAGACACCAACGAGTCATCATCTATTCCAAGACCCTCCAACTCCAGCCATCTTAAAGAGTCATATCCTTTATCTGCTGCATAATGAATTTCATTGTCTATTATCTGATTAACAGAGAGTTCCTCATTATTCTCTTCGGTTTCTTCTTCTTCTTCTTCTCCTTCTCCAGCCTTCCCCTCTATATCAGTGTCAACACACATTAAAGAACCCATCCTCTCAGCCAGTCCCGGAATTTCCTGAAGCTGAAGTAGCGAACACAGAAAAAAAGAAAGAAAAAAACTGGTGAATTAAGCTCTCAGAACAACTATCTTCTAAGCTTACAAAACCAAACATGTAGCTTTTTTCTAACAATTGGACTGAACAATTTTAGCTTGAATTGCCATAGCGACATAGAAATAAACGATACTGGCTGGTTAGGGACATGTCAGTGTTAAAACTTCTACCATAAATGATACTATTGCAAGTAAAATACTTTAGAAAAACCCAGTGAATAGTCTCAGAACCACTATGATGTAGAAAAACGGTAAGAACAAAAAAGGCAGAATTTCAGCATACAAAAACGAATTTGCAACTTTTTCTAACAATTTGACTCTATATTACTCGTTTGAATTGCCAAAGTAGTACCTAAGAACAAATCATTATTCCAACTTCTTCCTTAAAATGAAATTCCTGCAAGTAAAATATCAAAACAAACCCAGCTTTATCCCCACTTTCACGAAGCAAATACACCATTTACCCAACAATGTGCACTCAAAAAATCAATACTGATTACTAGAAAATCAGTGTAAAGTCCCTATTTTTAAATGTTCAAAAATAAGTCCCAATTTTTAAAGAGTGAGAGTGGCGGTACAAGACGCACACCTGTTTATAGGCATCGGGAAGACGAAAAGTCCAGGCGTGATCGACAAGGAAGACCTCGGAATCTTTAGGCATAGATTCGGAAGTGAGAACAAGTCTCCGTCGCCGATTATCGTCGCAGGGTTCGATCTGAAAGTGAGCGCCGCCATCTAAAGTATCCGAAGCAAGCTTCTCGAAGAGGCGTCGGTGAAGTTTCTGAGGCAAACCTGAAGACGCCAAGAGTATTCCATGTACCTTGACGAAATCTTCCAAGCTCTCGATTTTGTTGGCCATTGCTGGTGAATTTCTGAAGGCAGCACCTTTTTTGGCTCTCAGGGTTTTCTGTGGGGTTTAGTTGCGCTTCGAGCGTCGCAGTCTTGGTCTCTCAAATTGGGTTACAAGATAACAATTTAATTTCGGTTAGGTTCGGTTTGATTTGGTTGAGGATTTTGTTTTTGTTTTTAGTATTAATTTAATTTATTTATTTATTTACCATCTTTGACACATCATCATTTTTAATTTATATGAAGATGACATGTGTAACTTTTATAATTTAAAGTTATAATTTTTTCAAAAATAATAAATTAGTAAATTTTAATATCAAGTTTTAAACCACTCAAAGAAAATGAATTATTTTTTTCATTAATCGATTAATATTGATTGATATTTACTTTATTTTTATATAATTCTCAAATTTTTTTATGATATTACATTTTAAATTAATTTTTAAGATTGTATTTTTTTGGATAAAATTTCTAAATTTTTTTATAATAACATACTAACACATACAAGTAATGATTACATTTGCCTTTTTATTTGATATTGCATTTTATATTAATTACTAATTTTTGATATAAAATTTCTAAAATTATTTATAAGAACATACTAACACACATAACAAATAATGATTATATTTGTTTATATATTTATAATATTATATTTTAAATTGATTTTTAAGATTGTTTTTTATATATAAAATTTTTAAAATTGTTTATAATAACATACGAATACACATAACAAATAATGATTATGTTTTTTTTTATAGAAGATTTGAAATAGTTAAAAAAAAACCCCACACGTTATGTGTAGGTATTCGCCTAGTTATAATAATAGTTTCAAGAAAAAAAACTTTTTTTCTTCTCCTTCCTCCATCTACTACCTCGTTCCTCCACCTTCCATCATTCATGCTCCTTAACTCATTCAATGAAGGTATTCACAAATTCACTAAATTTAAAATGGTATCAGAGCGTCTCATTGATCTTCCATAACCTATAATTTTTTCTGATTCATCGCGATTTCTTCTTGGCACTGTAACAATCAAAGCTCCATCAATACAAGCCAACGTAACAAGCTCAGGACGAGCCGATTCAGATTAAGCTCTAACTCATTCAACAACAAACCCAAAGGAGACCCATTTGTCTAAACCACAATTTTTGTAATACGGGATGGATCTCCACAATGTAAGCCCTCAGTTCTCTTCCACGAAAATGAACCAATTGGACTTCTCTTCCACCTCAACATCAGATTCCGTCTTCAATGGACGCTTTTTGGGACTCAGATTTCTCGATTGATAGAGTGATCGGAAGTGATTGGATTAAATTACTGATGGATTAAAAATTGACTTTGGCCCCTTTTTTCTGCTCTCAGTTTTTTTAGTTGCTTCTTCGAGCGACGACGATTCGTTACTCAAATTATTTTGTAATTTTATACAATGTATGTAGTCATATGAATTTAATTTCAATTTGGTTCGGTTTAGTTTGCTCAAAACCAAATTTTATTTCGTTTCAGGTTGAAAATTTTTGGTTTACTTTTGATTGGTTAGGATTTGGTACTGTTTTGGATAAAATATACACATCCTTTATTATTTATTATACAAAGTTTGATATCTCAAATTACAAATTAACAATTGGTCGTAACATATGTAAGTTATTTTTACCATATGTAAAAGAAAATTAAAAAAATAGCTAATATGATTTTTTTTTAAGTATTGTGGAACTTAACTTTTTAGTTTTCGTCAACTTTATCACTAATATAACTTTAGTTTAATCTATTTTTATTTAAAAAATATTTAATTAGATCACTGAAAACATAGAACATTATCTTCTTCACATAGATCACCAAAACAAGAAGGAAAAATAACATGTTGGAGAACAAGCCCAAGGATACCTATATCGGTTGCTGGACCGATATAGGAGGTCTATAAGATGAAAACCATTATGAAAGGATGAGAAAATTCTCTGGAAACACTCCCCATCGGTCTACAAATCGATATAGCCGACCGATGTGCAGAGTCAACTCAAAGCGTCCTAAAGATTGACTCAGATGAAGGTCTTACTGATTTCCAATGGAGCTTAAATTTCGAGACAACATAGGAAGTTTAGTTAGCTTTCCAATGGATGTGGTTTCAAGGCATTCAGAGCTGTGCTTCAAGAGTTACTGCTGATTTAGTGAACACATATCGACTCTGCCGTGAAGGAGGAAGCATCTGAGCATGAAGGCTCTCTGGTGTTGATACCATCTGTCCATACATCGATATGAGTTACCGATGGAGGCTTCACTAGTGTTAAAATTAGGGCTGACTTTAATGTATTCACCATTGTTGTCTGTGTATAACGTCCTTATCTTGGTCTGAAATTGATTTTCCACCAGTGCTTTAAACTTGTGGAATGTCTGAGCTACATGCAGTTTGAGCTTGAGTGGGAAAAACCACATGTAGCGTGTGTAATGGTCCACAAACATTAAATAATACTTATAACCTTTGGTGGAAAGTATAGGAGACATCTAGACATCAGAAAACAAAACGTGTAATGGTTAAGACGAAGTAATAGAAGACTCATGAAAAAGAAGTTTGTGACTTTTATTAATGAGGCAAGAGTTGCAGGGAACTAAATCATTTGAAGAAAACACAACTGAAGGATAAAAACAAGAAGTATTTTAAAAATAGGAAAAGCTGGATAGCCTAAACGATGGTGCCATTCAGATAAAGAGGTTGGCTACGACAAAAGCTCGAGGACAACTTGTTGCAGGCCACTCGTAGGAGCCATCTTTAGCTGGTGCTGTGAGAATCGGTGCCCCCGTGCTCAGCTCCTTCACCTGAAACATATCAGGAAAGAATTCCACAGACGTATGGTTAGTTTTAAAGAATTTATTCACCGAAATAAAAAATTTCTGCATCTCTAGAACATATAAGACATTGGCAAGCTTAAAAGAATGAGAGTTGGTGGGCAGAGAAAGTGAACCAGTGCGAGAAATAGGTAAGCCCGAACCGTTACCAATGACGACAGAGTCGTTGCCAGTGTAGGTCTGATGAAGAGCCAAGTTGTTCAGGTCGGATGTGATGTGGTGAGTGGCACCGGATTCCATGAGCCAGTTATCTGGTGGATTCGGGAACACAGAGGCAGGGTTAGCACTTGGTTTCCAGTGTTTTTGCTGCTGAGACATTCCATATGATGGCGGGGACAGTTGTGCTACAAATTTGAAAGTTGGACACCGCTGCACACTGTGCCATTGAACTCCGCAAGCTTGACACTTCCCAAGATAAGGTCAACTGGTGCGAGTGTTTTCATGACCATGTTGTGAGGCGTTGTTGAACGACAGACTCCAGTTGTTGTTGCTGTGGTTGTTGTTACGACCCCTGTTATTGGAATTCGCAGGGTTTGTCGTGATAAGAAAGATTGGTGTTGCAGGCTGCTCACAGATAATGCTAGCTTCTCTGTTGATCAACTTCTCTGTGAGCTCCGAGAAGGAGATCAGATTGTCACGTCCATTAGCAGCATCAATTTCCAGCTAGAATTCGTTCGATGAAATCTTCGGGATCTATCGGTTTACAAAGAAGAGCTAACTCATCAGGTTTGCTCTTCATTATGGTTTTGGTGCCTTTAGTGTAACTCTGAATCTGAAACTTGAGTTGTCTGATATGGCCTCTTGTGGGTCTTCCATACACCACAGCAAGGGTGCTCCATACTTCATGAGTGGTGGTGGCGCTAGCAACCAGCGGTTGAATTGGGAGGGAGATCGCACCGATGATGGCGCTGTAAAGCAGCCGATCTTGACCACACCAGGGAACATAAGCAGGGTTCGGTTTTGCCACACCATTATAACGGTAGCTGTTGGTATGGTGTCAGATTTCACAAGAAATCTATGAAGCTTATTTCCTTCAAAGGCATGTACTTGACGATGCCACATGAGGTAGTTGGTGTTGGAGAGCTTGGTGATGTTAGCCATGTTCACGGAGAGCAAGGTCCTCCGGGGATCACTCTTCTTGTACACAGCGGCACGGCTGGCAGTGGAGACATTGGAAAAGTCAATTTCAGTCATAGTAGCGGCAGCTAGGGTTGCTTAGAGGGCAAGGTAGCAGTGGCTAGAAAAAAAAAGTTGAGAAGTTTAGGTATTAGATCGAGAGAGCTCTGATACCATATAGATAATGTATTTCGTATATTATTGATGTTAAGCCTTTACATGTTTATATAGATACAAAGAGAGCAACTAGAAACTAGGGAAGATCTAACAAAAGGAATATTTACATATTATTCTATATTCTAAAATAATCTAGAAGAGTATATCATAATAGACCCGACTATCTTTAGGTTCTTTGCTATATATACTTGTTTAAACACATGTAAACGTTAAGTGTTGTTGTCTCTAAGTTTCCAAATGGATCTAAACATGTGTTCTTGAATTCTTTGGTGAATTTTGGATGATAAAACTTCATTTTTCTTTTGTAATTCCATTTTTTTTATGCTTTCTTCTTCTCCTTTCATTACTTTTGCATTTCTTACCATGGATTTCTCCATATCCATGAGTGAGTAAATCTAATTTATGGGTCTCTCGGCAAATGGTAGATTAGGGACATTTTATGGTTGGGATTTAAAATGGTATAAGAGTGTCTCGTTGATCTTCCATAACCTATAATTTTTTCTTATTCATCGCGATTTCTTCTTGGCACAAAGCTCAATCAACACAAGCCAACGTAACAAGCTCAGGACGACCCGATTCATATCAAGCTCATATCAAGCTCTAACTCATTCAACAACAAACCCAAAGGAGACCCATTTGTCTAAACCACAATTTTTGTAATACGGGATGGATCTCCACAATGTAAGCCCTCAGTTCTCTTCCACAAAACTGAACCAATTGGACTTCTCTTCCACCTCAACATCAGATTCCGTCCTCAATGGTCGCTTTTTGGGAATCAGGTTTCTCGATTGATAGAGTGATGGGAAGTGATTGGATTAAATTACCGATGGATTAAAATGGACTTTGGCCCATTTTTTCCGCTCTCAGTTTTTTTTAGTTGCTTCTTCGAGCAACGACGACTCGTCACTCAAATTGGTTTG